ACTAAGGCCCTGCTGTCATATGGTTGATCCCCTCTAGTGCCTTCTTGCGTCTGCTATAGGTGAATTTAACTCGGGGCTTATCAAGAACCTGATAAAATTATAGTTTCTTGAAATTGCAGATAAAATGTGAACTTAGAAAATTGGTGAATGCACTTTATATTTCTTCTTGCAAATGCTAGAGATAAATTTGTGATCAGAAATCTACAGTCAAGATTTAAGCGAAGAGACATGGAAAAGCGGATCTTATTTGGAAGCAAACTTTTGATTAGTCACATTATGGAGAACACACACCTGACATGTATTTCGATTTTACTCCTTCCCTAGTCAGAAAATGAAGTTCAAATAGAAACTCTACATGCCATGAACGATGGTTCCTTTAGGTCAGTGTATTGCTGTGCTTTCTTACCTCTATTATCCACTAACACGAATGTCTATTTTCTCAGATTCTTTGTGATATAACGGCTATGATTGGCAACAAATTGCCTGAAGAAAGGAGGAATCTTGTTGCCATGTGGGCGATAAGCGTCTGCAAAAACAGTGATGTGTCAAATTCTAAGGTTGCTAAAAGCTTGGTCTCTCTTGCTGTTTCTTTAAGCTCGCCACCTGGTGACCTACTGGTTGCCCAAGAAATGGCTGCAGAACTTTCAAAAGTGAAGGGATCAGATGACAGTGATCCGTTAGAGAAATCTGAAACCTTCAGCGTCATAAACAAATCAACGGATGATGCAATAGCTTCTATCGTACTGCAGTTAGCTGAATCAACCATCGTTGACATGGATTGGATCGTAGCAAGACTGAATACATACCACACAGCTACTCGAAAAGGCATTCCTCCTCGTCAAATGGGTATATTTGCTTCTGGATCAGTACTGGAAGACACACTTTATTCAAGAGCTGAAGCCCTCGTGAAGGTCTTATCTTTTTTCGTTGCCATGACCCTCAAGGGTATGTAGGCGCTAACACGTGTAAATTGTGCAAATCATTGTGTATTTTGTCAGCTCATTATAATTTATCTCCATTGAAAGTGCAGATCCTCAAGCAGAATATTTACTGCGAATTGCTGCGAAGTTTTACAAGAACCTAGCTAGGATATCAAAGCTGTGTATTGCTTCTAAAGGCTGCAAGCAAGTTTTACCGAGCCTTAATTACCAGAAACTCGTGGAAATAACTTGCAGGCAGTTAACTGCCCCAATTTATAACTTTGTCTCACAGATGCAACAGGTATTTCTCATGTATTCACGTGCTGCTTTTGTTCGTACGCTTTATTCACAAAAAAATTTAAGATTTCATAATTCTTGTAGTCGTGTCATTGCTGATCTGCAGAGCCAACAGGAGAGCAATAAATCTAGAGGACTTGTTAATAAAATCAAAAGAGAAAACCGATGCATCCCGGACTTGATCTTCCAGATAGAAGACTATGAGAAATATCTCATCCAACTTAGCAAGATCACCAAAATTAATCTGTTGAGGCATGCCAAACGTAGCACATCCCGGGATTTCAAAATTGTAGAGCCAAGTGAAGATGCATTGGAAGATGATAACCCTAACCAAGAACCGGAAAACTATAATATCAATGATGCTGAAAGTGAATCGTCCAAAGAATCTGGAAACGAAGAAACAGAAGAAACCGAATGCGTTCGGGCGCCCGAGTCTAATCCTCTGGCTGCAGAGGATTCTGAGAGTGAGGATGATGCTACTCTACCTAAAACAAAAAGAGCAAAAATGGGCAGCATTGTGCACGAATCCTCTGATGAAGAAGCATAAAAATCACCATCATTTGCTTGTTTGTTAGGATTATAAAATATTATTGGATAGTATTATGAAGGAAAACAAATTAAAATCTTGTTAATTTTATTGTTAATATTTTGTCAAAGATGAATATTTGCCTTCTTGTGTTGTAAAATTGGATCTTCGTGCTACTTTGGAACCATAAATAAAATTACTTAAGAAAAATAAGTAAATAACTTTTCATTAATCAACACAATTAGCTTCCATTATATCTCAACAAATTAAATTAAATTAAATTTTTTACTCTCTTATTTTTAATCACACTATTTTCAATAGAATAATATAATATGTCAATAGAATTTTTTTCATTTATCTACAATCATCCATTAAAAAAAAAATAAAAAATAAAAAAAATACTATTCACAGTAATCAAATTAATGAGGGCTAAACGGGGGCTTAAGTTTTAACAATACCCCTTCACCCTAATGATCTGCAACACTCCCTAGCGTTAGTAGCAAAAGCTCAAGCAGACAGCGACTGAGAAGATGAATAGCGGTGGCGCAGCCTCCCAACACCGCCGGCAGTCTCGCCGGCCCTGCTTTCCTTATTTGTCACTAATTCTTTCATTCGCGGTTTTGGTAGCAACGGTCAACGGTGGCGAGTTTACAGATTCTTCATCAATCATATCGAGATTCCAACAATACCTGAAAATCAACACGGCCCATCCCGAACCCAACTACCACAAAGCCGCCGATTTCATAGTCTCCGCGGCCAATTCCCTTTCCCTTGAATCCCAAATCCTGGAATTCGCAAAGGGCAAGCCGTTGGTCCTCCTCAAATGGGCCGGCAGCGACCCCACTCTTCCCTCTGTCCTCCTCAATTCGCATACGGACGTTGTCCCAGCCGAGCAGGAAAAGTGGGCACACGCGCCTTTTGATGCCCACCTTGACCCTTCTTCCGGCCATATCTATGCTAGAGGCTCTCAGGATATGAAGTGCGTCGGTCTTCAGTACTTAGAAGCCATTGGGAAGCTACAGATCTCAGGGTATCGCCCAATTCGCACCGTGTACCTTTCTTTTGTGCCCGATGAGGAAATTGGCGGACATGATGGTGCCGAAAAGTTTGCTGATTCAGAGGTTTTTAAGAAGATGAATGTTGGGATTGTACTTGATGAGGGATTGCCCTCACCCACTGATAATTACAGGTTGTTTTATGCAGAAAAGTGCCCGTGGTGGTTAGTGATTAAGGCCACTGGGGCGCCTGGTCACGGGGCAAAGCTCTATGATAATACTGCAATGGAGAATCTGCTCAAGAGCATTGAGAGCGTCAGGAGATTCAGGGCTGCTCAGTTTGATTTGGTAAAGTCAGGTCTCAAAGCTGAAGGAGAGGTCATTTCTGTTAACATGGTGTTCTTGAAAGCTGGCACGCCCTCTCCAACTGTGAGTGTGACATTTTCTTCTTCTTTCAAATCCATCACTACACAGCGTGCACTGATCAGTTCTGATAAGTTAATTGAGTAATATTTGTTTGTTAGGTAAGATTAAGAACCAAAAATAAAAATAATATGATCACAAAAGTTGGATTTTCTATATTGTAATTTCACAATCATCTCCATTACTGATGTTGGATCGCGCACCGTCCAAATGTGGTTGTTGATTGAGGAGACGTGTCGACCATCATGCATTCAACAACTCAACAATGATGGTGCCAGCTGGCATCTCGCCAAAGTCTATAAATAAACCTAATTCCCTCCAAATTATTCATTTCACACTCAATCCAAAGACCTACCCCAAAATTACCTCGATACTGAAAAGTAATCCACTCCTTCATTCCCTCCAGAAAATATTGTGCCACCGCGCACTACCACTTGAGATCACTCAGTAAACTACACATACATAATAATGAACTGTTTCTCATTCTAATTATAGAAATGAAATTGTTTTATAGAATAGTTTCCTTATTTCCTCGTAAAGCTAGAAATCTTGTACTTCTGCTGCCTATTAGGCATGCATACATACTCAAGAATGTACGTATTAAGTCTAAAGCTGTCTCTACAGAAACAGGAGTTGGTGCAACTGAACTTAAAACTTATTAGCATGCTGAAACTGTTTGGATTGTTTGTTTTTAAAGCCATTAGCTATAAAAAGTGCATTCATGAGCATACGAGTACAACTGGGGTGCTTGGTGGAGATCATAATGTATTCTTTCTTATTTTTCTGGACTAAGTTTAGCTTGATCAAAAAGTCTAGCATTTTAGTTCGATCTGCTTTCCTTTTCATGGAACTTAAGTTATGCACATTCCACATCCTCCTATGTGCATGATGATTCTGTGAATCGCATACCATCTGATTAAGAGCTCCCTTTGCATTGCAATCTCCCAGGTGATATGTGTATTATAAGCATATCATTAACTGGTTTTTCTTTGGCAGGGATTTGTCATGAATTTGCAACCATCTGAAGCTCTGGCTGGTTTTGATATCCGGGTCCCACCAACAGCAGATTCAGCGTCCTTGGAGAGACGAATTGCTGAAGAATGGGCACCTGCTTCACGTAACATGACCTTTGAGGTGAGAGAAAATACATGACTACATATTGTCTCATTTATGTTGTACTACTTGATTGGACAAAGAATCACAAGAGCTCTCTACGAATGTGAAAGTGTCATGATGCTATTCCTTTTTTTCTGGATGAGTATTTACTATTGTCTGGTTGCTATCTAGTATTGTTAGATTTCCATAATTCGAATGCCTTGCTAGCTGATTCTGTGTTTGCTTGCATTATTGCCCTATGTCTAATATATGTTGTAGCTTGGACAGTTCAAGCAGAAGGTTTCTGTTTTTGACGAGTTTGGGAAGCCAATCCTTACATCTTCAGACAGTTCGAACCCCTGGTGGAAGCTATTGGAAAAAGCTATAAGAGATGCTAATGGTAAACCTGGAAAACCAGAGATTTTTCCTGCCTCAACTGATGCACGCTACTTCAGGGAACGAGGTTTACCCGCAATTGGCTTTTCTCCTATGTCAAACACTCCCATTCTACTTCATGACCACAATGAGGTGAAAGATCTCTCACTGCTTGGTAGTTTCACAAGGTTTTGTGTTTTATAACTTAATTTATGCTCATTTGCTGTGTGTAAACGGGATATACATTCTTGTATGTTTTTGGGCAATCATATCAGGTTAATGTAGAGTGTGGAAATCTGTTTATCTTGGATATTAGATGAGTCCAAATTACTTTATCTTAGTTTTGGTAATTGCAAATTGGAAATCATCAAATTTTTGTGGCATTTTGGTTGACTGTTAATTTGAATAAAAAGTTGAACCAATTAAATTAATGTGGAGTCGTAGACGGTATATTATTCTAAATTCTTTAGATTTTTTTATTTTTTATTTTTAATAAGGAATAGAACATGGAGTTTGTCCTTTTTTAGTGATTTAGAATGGAACAAGCATTCAAATGTTGGAGAATGAATAGATATTTTGATTTCTCATATCTTAGTGTTGGTATATTCCTTTTATTTTATTAGAGGGGTCTCTCTTGATTGAATATAGAAAAAGAAGACCATCCCTCTTGTGCTTCGATAGGTTTAGGTAAGGTATACGAAGAAGAAAGATTATTAGCGACTAATTTACTTTGCTTTAGATGGCTCATCTTTTGTTGATGCAAGAATAGATTTTTTGAATTTTTTATATTATAATTTGACAAATTACATGCTTCTATTTCCTTGAGTTTGCAATCGAGAGCATGCGTACTGAAATTTACACAACTCTTATCTTGTGCAGTTTTTGAACAAGGACGAGTATTTGAAAGGCATTGACATTTATGAGTCAGTAATCAAAGCCTATGCATCTTATGCCGACCACCAAAAAGATGAGGCTTCTAGAGATGAACTGTAAGAAATCAGCTCAAATTGCAGAAGTTTTTGTCATCCAAAATTGCATATCCAGACTATTGGTTCTGAAGCTGTGGATCGACTATGTTTGACGAAATTTGTTGGTACCTGGATTTGCTTATTACAATGAATGTGAAAGGGGCTTGTTGTTAAGCCGTTATTAGGAGCACATATAGTTGTACTGTATCTAGACGACTTGAAATTTGAAATAATCTTGTTCAGTTCAATATATCAAGTATGCTCTTAAACGTTGTTATGGAGTTGAGAAAAGTTGAATATGCATAATGCAACTATTTTTGGAATATTGCGATATTCGACTAATGACTTGTATATTTCATTTATCATGTTGCATAATATTATGAATGATCGGAGAAGATGGATAGCACGCTTTATGGGCAATAGAGAAGGAGCATGTGTTGAGTTTTGGATATTATGAATGATCAGAGAAGATGGATAGCATGCTTTATGGGCAATAGAGAAGGAGCATGTGTTGAGTTTTGGTCAATATTTCGAGAATTGAAACTCAATATCTGAGAAAGGATTGTCGAATGTTGTATTGGAAACAAATTCTGCTGAATTCATGTATATTAAAACAAAATGTAATAAGGGATTTAGTTGATGATTTTTTAAAATTAAAGATTCAAAATTGAGACAATAAATGCGTTAATATTAATAAATAGTCATGCAAATCATTGTAAAACATAGTCATAATAAAAATTTATTAGAATTTCTCTCTCTTTAATTTTGCAGGAGTTGCTTTTATTCTAAGAATTAGTTTTTTTTTGTTAAAATAAAGGAATTACATCTCTTAATCATTTAAATTAACGTTATATCTTATTAATTTATCATCCAGTTATATTATAATAGGAAAATTTTAACTGCTTTCTTCATGTCTTGGTGCAGCCTAAAAAACACGTCAGATTGTTTTGACACATTATTAACCCCTTGTTTGGTGGGATTAAAATCAAATTTTTAGTAGATTTTAATAAAATTTAATTAAATGCATGGTTAAAAATTGTGAATCCTATAAAATATATGATTAAAATTATTTGTTAACTATGACTCAAATTAAAATCTTAATTTTAACCTCTCCAACCTTGTAAGAGGCATGGTATTGNAGAAAGGATTGTCGAATGTTGTATTGGAAACAAATTCTGCTGAATTCATGTATATTAAAACAAAATGTAATAAGGGATTTAGTAGATGATTTTTTAAAATTAAAGATTCAAAATTGAGACAATAAATGCGTTAATATTAATAAATAGTCATGCAAATCATTGTAAAACATAGTCATAATAAAAATTTATTAGAATTTTTCTCTCTTTTATTTTGCAGGAGTTGCTTTTATTCTAAGAATTAGTTTTTTTTGTTAAAATAAAGGAATTACATCTCTTATTCATTTAAATTAACGTTATATCTTATTAATTTATGATCCATTTATATTATAATAGGAAAATTTTAACCTCTTTCTTTATGTCTTGGTGCAGCCTAAAAAACACGTCAAATTGTTTTGACACATTATTAACCCCTTGTTTGGTGGGATTAAAATCAAATTTTTAGTAGATTTTAATAAAATTTAATTAAATGCATAGTTAAAAATTGTGAATCCTATAAAATGTATGATTAAAATTATTTGTTAACTATGACTCAAATTAAAATCTTAATTTTAACCTCTCCAACCTTGTAAGAGGCATGGTATTGGCTCTTAACTTTCAAAATTGAAGTCTTGACTTTTCAACCTATACAATCTTGTGAGATTGAGTCCATGTCCGATAGAATTGGTAAGTTTCACAGTTAAAAGTAACCATTATATTATCACTAGAAATTAAATATTAAAAGAATAAAAAACAAAAACCCAAAAAAAAAAAAAAATTGTATGCTTTTTCGGTTTTTATTTCTTTTAGGCCCCGTTTGGGAGGGATTTTGAGAATTGATTTTTTGACAGTTAGAAGAAAAGTGAGGTTCACCAGTAAAAGAAAAAAGTCAAAAATTATGACTGAAATAATATAATAACGGTCAAAAAATCAATTTTTTGGGATAAAAAAATCCCTCCCAAACAAGCCCTTAATATATAGTTCAATGGCATAACAGTCAAATTTTAAATTTTTTTTTTTTTTTTTATAAAAGTCTTTTTAACAATTAAAGCGAGATTGAGAAGTCAATTTGAGATTTCATAAATGATTAGGATCTCAATTAGGGGTGGATATTTTTTTTCTGAAACCAGTTGAATTGGAATGGAATCGAATAGAGCCGATTGGTTCAACTCCAATTTCTCTACTAAATGGATTGATTGTAGGATCACAAATCGAGAATCGGCTGGTTTTGATTAGATTCTCGATAATAACTAGAGAATTAATAGTGAATTTGATCATTCCAAAATTTTCAATTTGTTAATGCATTGCATCAAGATGTACCAAATTTTTTAACACTGTACTTCAAAATTATCTTACGCTAAAATTCCACTTTCCATATGCTGCCGCTTCTTTTTCTTCTTTTGCATTAAAATCTAGTGGGTTATCAAAATTCAAATTTAAATAATTTTATAAATTCATAGCTTTAATACACCCCCAATATGAAAAAAAATATATTCAATCTTTCGTACGAAACTCTAATTTCTCGTTATTTTAAACTGACCGATCATCAAGAATCAATATCTTCTCCTTGAGAATTATTTAAGATAACCAAGTTAAAAATGCTACATGTATTTTTTTGATATATATTAATGTATGCATTTTCTTAAAAATTAATTTTTGATCCAAATTTTACAATTTGCGCCATATTAATAATTTTTCATTTTTTCACCTTTATCAGTTGATCTCATGCCTTGAAGTAGATTTTTGTTTAATTAGGGCATGTTTTAAAATGCATTTTGAAACAATAGATTGATATAGAGTGTGGGTTAAAAAATAACGAAAGAATTTATATTTATGTGTATTATTTTATTGAAAAATATGTAATGAAAAGAAAAAAGAGAAATATGTATTAAAAAAAAAAAAGGAATCAAACAAGGGCATAGTTTTTTGTAACGTTAGATTACAAGAATGACAAGTAATTTGAGAGATAAGGTTCAAAATAAAAGCCAAATAGATCTGTGTATTTTATTGAGAATTAAGACCTGTATTTATAAGGTTCAAAATGAGAGTTACAATTGAAATGAAATATACATTATAAACTAGAAAAGACTCATCTATGTATGATGATAATACTAGATAATCATCAATATTTATCTTATAGTAAACTCTGAAATGTCACAAAAAACTCACTTTTGTTTGTGTTAAATACGAATGATAAAAATAGAGTTCTTTAAAAATAAACTGTTGAAATATCCATAAATTTAAACTAAGACAGAAAATTGTATCTTTTGAAAAAATAAACATAGTCAACTAACTAATTAAATAACATATCTTCAAATAAATTAAACTAACTAATGAATTTAAAGACAACAAAAAAAAAAGTAAATTTTTTTTAATACGCTACAAAAGTTGTATCGTTAAAAATCTTGTCATAAAAGTTTAATGGGACAAAGGTGTCATCTATTTGAGTTCAAATTACGCATTTCTTCTCAGTATTATTTACTTTTCATCTTAGTGTAATGTGATGGATCAATTTTACATATACTGCACTATCAAAATAATTAGATGAAGAAATTAGGCTTTGATAACATGGTGAACTCTGATACTGACATGACGCATAATAACATTTCCTAAATAGAAATAAGAAGTATTTTGTTTTCAACTTAATTAATTGGATGCTTTTAACAAACAATAATGTTAAATAATTTTTCGACATCTTAACTAACATATATTAAAATTTTGATATTTATGTTCACTAGTATTAATGAAACAGAATCTTGATTATATAATCTGAAAATTATGCTCATTATTTGAGCAATAAATTTGCAAACTTCAAATTGCGAACACCGTGCAGTCATCTAATATTTGTATCAAATTTATTAGATACAATAATATTTAAATAGTCAACGTGGAGATGGTGGGACCCTATTTATTATCCTAATTAACTTTCAGAAATATAAGAAATTTAGTTCTTAATTTAGCCAATAATAGTTTCAAGGTTTGGCATGGTTCAGGTTAGGTCGGTTTTTACCCCAACTCGAAACCCAAACCAACGAAAATAAATTTCAATCCAAATCAATTCGATCAAACTCTTAAACTGTACCGACCCAAACCGAATCGTTTTGAATCGGTTCGATTAATTGGTCTTGTCTTTTATCTAAACTGAATTTTAAAAAATAATAATAATAAAGCTTTTGGGCCCAATTTGAGTACATCTAATCTCTTCTTTTTGCAATTAACACAAATCCATGACCTATGAGCTGTAAATAAAGTAAATTCATAACATGTTGTTAACACACTATTTTACTCGAAGTACCAGATTTTAGACTCATTTTGCTCTAGAAATTAATAAAATTGAAAAACCTAAAACATGCAGTAATTAAATTTTGAAATTTGAACTACTATTTCATCACTTGTAACAAAAGCAAAATTAATAACAAATATTACCCATAACATCCATTCCAAATTCAATAGCTAAAATTGGTCCAACAGCCATCATTTAACATATAAATAACATCCTAAGCTCAATTTGCTAGCTGAATTTCCATTTGCAAGAAACTAAGATTAACCATTATCCAGTTTGATCACCTTCACCTACAATCATAGATGGAAACGTGAATCATATTTCATTATAAAGCTAGGATCAAATGTGACCCCAAAAATAGAAATAAAAAATAAAAGTACCTACTTAAAAAACTTGAGATAGCATGAATTATTTATCCTTACTGCTAGAGTCTTCATTCGTTATTGTTGGTTCCGGAAGCTCTAAAAAAATGATTGAATTAACACTAAATGAAATTGAAACGCATACAATAACAAACTATATCAAATAGTTAATTACCTTCATCCAATTTTTTTATAATACTCCACATATTCCATGTAAGATTTGTTCTCATTTAGAGCAGATCTGAGCCAATTTTGGGTGCAAACCGAAACCTTGACCATTCTAGCAGTTAAAGAACTAAGAAAGGGATTTAGAATTCTTCTTCCTGTACCGAAAGCACTGTTTGAAGCCACAGTAGATACTTGAATTGCTAAAATATCTTTTGCAAGTTTGCACAAGGTTCTATTCTTGTTTTCATGTACCTCCACCAATCAAAGACATCAAACTCCTTATCCTCTATATCTTCACATGCATCCAACAACTATCTTTCGACATCATTTTTTATTTCAACTAAATCTTTTGCTGCTCGTTGTTCTTTAAACTTGGAAATACAAGCAGGAGATGCACTAAAGTGAAACTAACTTGACTTGCAAAAGAAAACTACTTGTAGAATCCGAATCCATCGATACTTGACTACTTTGAGGACTTATATGTGACCTTACATATCAATCATAAGTAGATATCAAATTTTCATTCAATGTTTGGGTCATGGTACTAGCCAATTCCTTATACTTATAAATATCACAAAAACAATACTGAACATAATCTAATTTATGTCTAGAATCAAGCACCTAGAAATCAATAACATTTGGTTGACATTGTCCATGTTCCTCTAGTACTTGTCAAATTTTTGCTTCATGTTATTAGCCATTTCACCTAAAAGATAATTTTTAGTTGAACTCCAATCTTCCAAATCTGCTATAAGTGCACATACTTCATGAAGATAAATATTGGAACTAACATGTAATGAAGTACTAAATTTTAGAGTCACATCATAAAAACATCAAGGAATTTTACAAAAACTGATGCATTTTCGCAATCATTTAATAAAGGAGTTCTACCCCTTCTAGGACCACGGAGAAGAAGAAAAGATAATTGAGCTTGTTTTTAATATTATATATTGATTTTTGATTTATTTAACTTTTAAGTTAGGCTTTAATCTTGTAAATGTAGTATACTAAAAACTAGGAACTATAAACAAACTTTTAAGAATTGGGAACTCTAAAAATCGGGACTTAAAAAAAACAAAAAAAAATTATAATTGGGTTGGATTAGATCGGTTAATAGTTGGGTTAAGGTTTTAACTTAACTGTTAACCGACCCAAGCCATCATGTTAGTAGTTCTATATTAATCAATTAAAATTGATTGGCTTGACCAAATCGACACGAGTCGGTCGATTCAATCGGTTCGATCGATTTTTCAATTTTTTTGCCCAGATCTAATAGTTACTAAAAGATTTTCATGAAAGATAACAAACATCATATAAGATTTCAATGGATTAAAGAATCTTCTGGTTCTTCATTGAATATCTATTTAAAATTTCAATTTTACGACATTATTGATCCAGTGATGATCCAACTGGTCATGCCATAATAAAGTCAAATCGAACTTTTGGTTCAATATAAAATATAATTCAATTATTTAATTTCAAAAAATATGATTAAACATGATATATTTATGTATCATTCAAGTAGTCAAACTAATCAATCTCCTTATGACATTAATTACATGTTTTCCTTCAAGGATAACATGAATTTAAAATGATATATTTTTCAAAAATGTGTTACTTCGATAGTACATTGTCTTTAATTATTACTTCTTCAAGAAAATATGTCAATACTCTTCTGAAATAATGAGAAGTATAACTCATGCTCTTTAATAGTGATAAATTAGTACTCTTCTTGAATATTAATAATATAAAAAGATTAGTTTCCTATAAAAATTAAAACCCACCGTTTAATTGTTTAGTTTGAATTTCTTTAGGAACATAATAAAATATATATTATTCAGGATATGTGCTATTTTGATAATATATTTTATTATTACTCATTCAAGAACCATAAATCAATATTCAGAAGAATATTGATAAATATGATACTACACATTTCAGGAGCAATAAAATATTATTATTTAAAATAATAAATTGTGTGAGCATTTACTCTTTAGGAGTAAAAATATAATTTATGTTAGATTATATTTAATATACTCTTTTGGAGCAAGTAAAATTAATTTGAACATTAATATATAAATAAGTATGTAGAAGAATGGATACGTAAAGAATTGAGTAATTTAAATTATGATTTTATATAGGAATTGATCAATGTTTTTCTGAAATATTGAAATTGTAATATCATGCTCTGCAGGAGCAATAAAATATTTATTATAATATTGTGCTACTTTAAGAATAACAAGATATTTGTAACAGACAAATCTACAAGTGACATTCTTCTGAAATATTGAAATTGAAGCGTAATACGCTTTAAGAACAATAACATATTATTATTTGAAATAATAAATTGTATAAGAATTTTCTTTTAAGGAGTAAAAACATAATTTATGTTATATTTTATTTAATTATATTTTCAGTAACAAGTAAAATCTAATTAGAACATTAATAATATTGTGCTGATTCAAAAGCAACAAAAGTAGCACATTGTTTTATAATAAATAGATATACGAGTACTAAATTCATAAAATATACTCGTATTAAAAAGAATAGTAAAGAGGTAATTAAATAAATAATAAACAAGAAGAAAAAAAATGATTACGATGATTGGATAATTAAATGAATGATAAAAAGAAGCAAAAAAATTAAAAGAATGATAAACAAGTAAAATCTAACTAGAACATTAATAATAGTGTGCTACTTCAGGAGCAACAAAAGTAACGCACTATTTTATAAGAGACAGATATACGAATACTAAATTCATAAAGTATACTCGTATTAAAAAGAACAATAAAGAGTTAATTAAATGAATGATAAACAAGAAGTAAAAAAATGATTGTGATGATCGGATATGCATAATTATATTGCTATTCTACTTTATGATGATTGGACGTGCATAAGTTGGTGATTGGATTTCAAAAATTTGGACACAAAGAAAATTGGATAGAAACCAATTTGCTATGGGACAATGAAAATTAATTTGGCCGAAATCAGTCCATAAAAATTAATCATGCGTGTAAGCTACAATTAAAAAAAATAACGTTTATGATTTGAGATTGGTTATAAACTACCTTCAAACTAATTTGCTATTATTTCGGAAAATCATACTGATAACGTGTTATGAAAAGAGAGAAAAAGAGAATAGAAAATAAAAGTTAGTAGACTTGTGTAATTTATTGAGAATTAAGATCCGTATTTATAGGTTTTAAAATGAGAGCTACAATTGTAATGAAATAAACTCATAGAGTACATTTGATAATCAATGTTTTTTTTTTTTGAAAAATGTCAAATTTCACTCAAATTTCTACTTTTATTTTGTTTGATTGATATTTTTTGTAGGAAAAATATTTTCCTAATTTTGGTGACGTGATTATATTTTTCTTGAAAAATAAGGAAAATATTTTTTATTTTTCAGTTAATCTATCTTTCATCTACTCTATCTCTCGCTATATACTTACTAATAATAAAAAATGAATAAATATAATATTTTCTAAAATGAAAAATAAAATTAATCAAATCTATTTAATTGACAATTTTCATGTAATCACATTATTTTGATAATAATGCATTCTTGAATATGTATTGATGGGAAATGTGTGATTAAAAAATAAGAAAAAAATTTTGATTTGCGTATAATATTATTTATTGAAGAATGTGTGATTGAAATGTTGTCAAATTACTATTTAAGAATACATTTTTTTAAAATAATGTGACTCAAACAGACACTAAATAATTTATATGCAATTCGTAAATTGCATACGATTAAACACACCTTTAAATTAAATAAGACTTACCTATGCTCGATGATAATAATACTAGATAATCACCAATATTTATTTGGCCCTTGTTTGAGCCCCTTTTTTTTGGGAAGAATGAATTTTTGAATAGTGTATTGATTGGAAATGCGTGGTTAAAAAATAAGAAAAAATTTTGAATTTTTGTGTAATATTATTTTATTGAAGAATGTGTGATTGAAATAATATCAAAATATTGTTGAAAAATGAATTTTTCAAAAGAACGAGACTCAAAAAGGGCTTGATAGTTTTACGACATTCTCCACTTTTTACTTCTGTTTTTTTATTTTCTACACTTTTTCCTTCTTTTCAGTTTCATATTTCACTCTTAACAGAACAAACCAACCCATTTTGTAACTGTGCGAAATCGCACTCCTTTGAAGATTACTATTATAGGTAAGGCCTTTATATGAATTCAGAAATTTAATATCAAATCAAAATACTAGAAAAAAAATTTTAGGCTCGAAAATTTTGTTTAAGCACAATGGCGTTTGATTTTTCTGATTTATTATTCGTATTCTGATTTTATTTTCGGTTAATCTTACTGAAATTTATCCTACGATGGAAATACTAATGTATATTATTTTTCTTGCAGGGTAGTGGTGTGTGCAGAATTTGGAACAAATTTTCTGATTTTCAAGTAAAGGTAGGGATTTTTTTTTTTTTTATCTTTTTCTTAAAATTTAAACTTTTGAGTATAACAGGATCTTACTTCTTCAATAGTGTTTATTTTTTCTTTTGACTTATCTAAAATAAACTATTGATAATTTAGGCAAAAGTTTAGTTCATTTGAAAATTGACATTAAATCCAAGCATTTTTATGGGAAACTAAGAATTTTAAAATGCGTAGAGGAACTGTGGCTAGAGAGTATTTTGGTAATGGAAATGTGATATATAAGAAGTTAGAGAGAAAATAGAAGTATTTTCACGAGGTATGTGAACATAGATATTGCTTAGTGCTTTCTAGGATTCATAAATGTACTTTGCAAGAACCAAATTTGGTTAAATTTACAGCGTAACAATAAGAAGAATAGTTTTAGTACCGGTCAGGTTCATCAGGAAAATGTCTGTTCATTGATCTCACGTTTTTATGTGCCTCTCTTTGATAGGGTTTGTCCTCCATGTGCTGAATATAAGAGGATGAATAAGATTTTGTTTTAGGCAAAAGAATATTGTAATGTCAAATGTTCATCTATTTAAGTCCCGGAAGGTCACTTATCGTAATGGCGTGCAGTTATGCACTGTACTAAAAGTAAATGTTTTAAACCCTCTTTATTATCTAATATGGCACTAATACTTTATTGCAATAAAACATAGTACTGATGAAGGTGCATAATGCCCTATTGAAGGATGTGTCAGGGGTGTTACATTAATAGAATAGATGAAAATTTATGGTCAACAAAACACTGTGATTCTTTTGCTGTTTTAATCCCAAATTTTGACGAAAGTATACTACATATGCTTTTAACTTAACTCTACTTGATAATATATGCATTCACCTAAACTATATGTCTTACTCATTCTCCTATTTTTCTTTTAATCTTGTTTGCAATCTTCAAATTAGTTGATGTCTTAATGGGATTACTGGAAGAGACGTGATTAGAGCCTCTTAAATTCGGATGCTCTGGTAGCATGAATATAGGAAAATTCGGCGACCTCCATATGTTTTATATGAGTCTGGCTAAGAATTTTATCATCTTTTGACCTTTGAGAAGTTATTTTTCCCCCAAAACACGATTTGTCTGCACGTGACATTTGGTACCTTACTCGATCAAAGTGTCTTTGTTAGATGACATAAGGACTCCTATTGTGTTCTTTAGTCTCTCCTAACTCTATTTTTTATATGAAATTGATGGTAGCATAGGTTTGGAATGATTAATCCACGCGTAGGTGTTATACACAATCAAGAATTTGGAGGAGTTTTACAAAGTATCTTTAGGAGTTGTATACATTTTCCAAGGGATAAGATAACCTGGCTATGACTCAATTTTGTGTGTTATCCATGTTTACAGGCTGGGGATGGAGAAAAAGGAAATGCAAGAGCAGTCAGGTGATTATTATAGAAATTTCAAGTGAGAAAATAAAAGAAGTTTGATTAATGCATCAGAACATTTCAAACTGAATTGATACTCCTGTCTCTAGGGCTGTGGGCTAACACATCTATATTATCTTCATTCTGCATTTATTTTATACTATACCATGAAAGTAAAACCATACTTCATCTGTTCCATTCTATTATATGTAGGGGTGAACAAAATGTCCAGACCAAACTAAATCAGACCAGAACCGAACAAAACCAAACCAAGCGGTTGAGTTCAGTTCTATCAAAAAAATTAATGGTTTTGGTTCTTTGAACCGAAAACTATTTAGTTTTGGTTATGGTTTAGTTCTAGTTCAAAAATCAGAACCAAACCAAACTTAATATTTAATTTTATCTATAATAATTAGTGGAGACCGTAATTTTATATTCATTGGAGATAGTACATTAATTAAATACAGTTTATTAATCAATTTTGGGTCATTAGAGATAAATAACTCATTAGTTGTCTACACTCTAATTTTGTATTCAATTGAATTATTTCTCTTCCACTCATTTTCAATTTACACAACGTCGCAGCATATTGGTACTGCATTTCATCAAGTTAGTGGAGTGTCATTTAAAATTGAAAAATGAAATTGGTCAGTTACTTAAAAAGTCTCTAAACTTTTTTTTTTACCTTAATTGTTTTATGAGTTATTTGTGTTCTTCCCAAATAGAGGAAAACCATATAAACATTCATGAAATATTAAACGATTAATGTTGCCTGGAGAAGTGGATTGTAAAAATTTTGATAATTCATTCTTTATTGTAAGGGTGTGCCTTCAAAAATACTGCAATTAATTTATGAATCATTACTATTACTTATTAAACAATTTTTTGTATGAAATTGGTGTATTCAAATTATGAATATATTTTGTTTGTTAGTTATGATTTTTTTGATCTCGATGATTGAAATTTGAACTTCCTAAATCTTTGATGTTTAAATTTTTATTTAGGTATACATTACTAATTTATATGATGCAAATCTAAAAATTTAAGAAATGAAATTAGAATCAAACCAAACCAAACCAAACAAAAAAAAAAAAAAACCAGAACTGAACGATTCGGTTCAGTTTGGTTTTATATCTTTAAAAAAAACCATTTGGTTCCATTATAAAAAAAACTGTTAGTTCATGATTCGGTTCGGTTCTCTTGGAACCAGAACCATATGGAACCATGTCCACTCCCAGTTATATGGAAATATTATTCAAAATGAACGATAAACAGAGAAAGTATATTCTGAAGTTGTCTATTCTATGAGAAAATAATGCAGGATACAGCCAGCCATTGGATAGATTTTGTCATTTTGAGTTACACGTTTATCTCTGTAGATTCCAATAGCATAGATGGATTGATCAGAACCAAACTTTTCAAGATTTTGCTATTTGATACGAAAAAAACAGGACACTGATTTTTCTGACACATGATTTTTACACTGATAAAGAGAGATGGAATCAAGGTGATGCAGTCTCAGGTAAATACAATTGTGAAAGTATTTAAACATGTGAAAGACAAGGTTAAAAATTAATTGCCAAAATTGCCTAAATTTAAACTCGATGATCGCTGAAATTATGATTCATTCAGCATTCTTAGGATAGGAAGAGAAAAAACTTGTTGTTAGAGTGCATATCAATGAAATGTGAAATGGTTTATATATTATATGTACGGAAGTTTTACACGGTAAACACATGAGTTGGACATATAACTATGTGTTGATCATAAATTGGCATATGGTGGGACCTTCTTTTCTAGATAAATAAACCTAATGTACATCTGCATAACATAAAATAGAAAAATTAAAAGATATGTTACATACACGCCAATTTTTAAAGAAATTATCATATAGTTTGGCAGCATTAGATTGTCAAAACGCTTTAAGCGCAAAACGCACTTTTTTTTTGTCCAATCTTTTTAAGAAAAATTTCCAATAACTTTGTGTCTCTTTGTTCCTGCTCGTTCTTGTACTGACTTTACTCCTTGAGTTGTACCCTCCTACTTTTTAATGTAAATTTATCAGAAACTACCCCCTTTGGGAAATCCTTCTCCGTCCTCACATTTTCCCAATAAATCTGCATATACAAAATCATTTTTTTCTCCAACCAAGTCCTTTGCCCTTAATGACTCATTGTCCCAATCTGTTTTATATATCACTGTTAAGATTGAGAGTGCACACACCACTTGAGCCGCTAAAAGTCCATAAGAAAGGCCTGAAAACCCCATTCTCCAGATGAAGGCCAAAGCTATTGCTACAGGTGTTCCTATCAAGTAGAAAGAGTAGAAATTAATGCCTGCACCAACACTTGGTCTAGCAGTCCCTCGGAGAACCCCACAACAAGCGGTCTGTGGACAATTGGCAAGCTCACAAAGTCCAATAATTGGCAGAACAGCCACTGTTACTTCAAGAACTTCACTATCATCAGTGAAGACGCTACCCCATGCTCTCCTCCCTAAGGTAGTCAATAAAAAACCAAATATTGACGTCGAAAAGGCTAGTGCTATAGTTACTGCAGTTGCCAAACGGGCTTTATCAGGTCTCCCAGCTCCAAGTTCATTGCCTACTCTTGTTGAAATTGATGCGCTGAGTGCTGAAGGTAGTGTGTACATGAGAGATGTGGTCTGTATTACTATAGCTGCTGTTGCGAGTGTAACATGAGGTTTGTCGAGGTAACCTGTTAGAAGTGTCATGAACTCATACCACCACCATTCTAAACAAACAGCCAGACAACTAGGGATTGCTAGTCGAATTAGCATTCCCCATTCCTCCCCTAATGAAGTGGAATCATGCTGTTCAAAGCTTGGCATTAGGAGGTTAGTCAAAGGCTCATTGCTCTCATGGGAATAGAGAATATAGCTCAGAAGGAAGAACAAGGTGTTAAGGTTGGTAATAAATGCGGAAATTGCAATTCCTTGGATACCAAGACGAAGGTTGATAGTTAAGAAGATTGTGATGGGAAAATGCAGAAGTGTAGACAGCAAAGTGCACCAAAGCAATGGCCATGTTGTCCCTTTACTTCGTAAGTATATACGTAGAGGATGAAGTAGGCTATTGACAATAAGATCGGGGACTGCAAACTGGGAGTAGATACCTGCAATATGTCCTACCTGTGGTTCTTGATGGAGCCATAGCATGAGAGGCTCTAGGTCAATCCATAAAACTCCAATGGGTATAGATGCAAATAGTAACAAAATGGTTGTTCTTTGGAGAGTTTGGGTCACCATGGCTAAGTTTCTGGATCCAAAAGCTTGGCTACAAAGCGGCTCCATCCCCATGGAAAGGCCGTAAAGTACAGAGTAACCTGTGATGTTGGTGAAACCGATGGCCAATGCGCCACTTGCCAGTTCCAAGCTTCCTAGCCGTCCCATGCACACTACTGAAATCAGGTTTTTCAAGTAGCTCAATAAGCCCATAGCCAATATAGGAAAACCTATCTCTAATATTTTCTTCAGCTCCTCCACTACCTAGTAATGAGCCGTAAAGGAAAAAGAGTCAGAAGATACTCGTAAAATACATCGTATGCTTTAACTGGAGTTTTTAAGATTCTTTTGTTCTTACCTCTGTCGTGGTCGGGCGCTTTCGGGTCTGACTTGCAGCCATCATTTTCCTTTTTCCCCTGTTGTTTGCTTGTGTTGTGATAATAGAGATGAACCGATACCTTACATAACCTTTTCTTGCAAATACTCAAAATGAATGCTGACACTCACACTAGAGAAAGAGATGGAGGGAGAAAGGGTGGTGATGTTATAAGCAAGCATGGAAGGGGTTTTTATAGGGGGTTCAAGGTGGTTGGTTTTTCAGTTTTTTCTCTTCATTGATTAGACAGCTATTCTGATTAAAAAAAATTAGAAACTGGAGAGTAGAGGATTGTAAATGAGTCACAGTAAAATGTGCTTTAAAGGAGTCTTTTGATTATAGTTTGTCATTTTGCCAAATATATGAGAACGTATCTACTTCCTCTAGTGAGAAAATCATACAAAAGTGTTATATTACCTAAATTTATGATCAATTTTCACATGTAAAGTTTCATAAATAAATAAATAATCATGTATGTCTGTATAAGTTTGTATACGTGTTATTTTTCAGTTTCTCCTATTTAATGAACATATATTTTACTGTTCATTTTTTTTCTCAACTGTCAAGAGCTCTAACTCCTAATTTTCAAACTGTTTTCAGATTTTCTGATGAAGACGAATAGATATTTTTACTCTCCACAAATGCAAAGCTCCTAGATCATATCTCACGTGGCTTGAAGAATCGAAAAATAATTTTTTGTTGTATATCATTAATTAGCTCTAATGTTTTTGGATTAAAATAGTATTGTTTTCAAGACCTTGTATTTCTCTCCCACAATCCCGTTTTCGCAATTTAGGTTACCCTTAAGAATAACTAAACTACTTTAGATAAGTGGATTGCAACTGAGATTTGATTATTGGATTTCTTTAATGCTTGTTTATCAAGTTAATGATGGCAAGAAAATTCTATAGAGGGAGGGCTGTGGTTAAGGTCCATGTCCACTTCAAGTTTATGTTTTTAGTAAGCAAAAACCCTCCATCCTGTACTTGCCTGAAAATCCCGCAGTCTACCAGAAGATTCTGTGGAAAAGCCTTTTTTTTTTAATAGTACCACATTCTTTGTCCAGAAAAGTTAATACAACGAACCTTCTTTCAATATCGTAGTGTATCTTTTCTTCTTTTCTCGATTTAGGAATAATTTGAGAATTTTTTTTTTAAAATTATTATTATTATTATTATTATTATTATTATTTTTTGGTTTTCCCTGCAGGCAAGGTGTGCATGTTTATCTGCATAAAACTATTTTACATATGCTGAGTTGGTTATTTTTTGGATTTATGTTTGTTAGTTGTTCATATTTAATTGTTATTTCTATACAAGATAACACGCGTTGATTTTGTCTATATACATGTATAATTAGTATAGTTAGTCATATTTAATTGTTATTTCTATACAAGATAACGCACATCGATTTTGTCTATATACATGTATAATTAGTGTAGAACGCTTTGTTCATTTATCACGTCCTTTCTTTTTCATTAACTATTTATGTATCTGGTTTGAATAGGTTGGAAGCTATCTTAAAAATTTCTAATTCTCAAGTTAAATTTGGTACAAGTTATAGATAAGACAGATCAATATAGTACCGGTGTCCCAATGGTCACCAGTTCGAGTTCCCTCAGGATCACTGAGGTGAGTATCTGGTTTTAAACTTTATGGTCACGTAGGATTAGTCGAGGTATGCGTAAACTGACTCGAACACTCATGGTCATTGAAAAAAAAATATATATAGTGCTGGTGTTGTTTTCATATCTCATCGTCATCTTCTACGAGTAACACCCACCCCACTGTCCGCCAAGGGGGGGGGGCCTGGGAGTTCATGCAAACGGGCGTTGATTAGAACTCACAGCACTAGACAAGACAATAATCTTGTCACACTTGTATGAAACCATCCATGTGCTTATAGTTGCACCTAAATGACTGATAAATACTCTTATACATAATTATTATGGCCGCTCTCATAATCTTGTAGACAAATTGCATTTCAAGCATCATCTTTTCTTTTTATTTCTTACAATTCAAAGATGGGATATTACACCTTCCCACTGAAAACAATTTGTGCATGTCAAGTGACACACGTTTGTTTAATAGAAAAGAGAACATGGACCACATATATATCGTCGTGTGCATAAGAGTTTTCTTTGTATTTGGTCTCGAAGTATGTGGGCATTGTATCAAAGAAACCAAAAGAACCGACAGGCTTCATTTTCTTCACGTAACTGATGATAAGAGAACTACTTATCTCCTCTAATGTCTATTTGTTGGGGGCATAGTTGGAAATTTAAAATTTGGTCAAGGCTCTTCTACTTTCTCGAAAAATAGTATAGGTTAATGTGAGAGGATGTAACACGAAGGAGGAATATAAATCCTAAAGACGGGTCAAACTTTTGGAAGAAAATAAAAAAGGAAGCCACATGGGATAAAGCGAGCCAGTGCTACTAGATCTGCCACATAGATACCGTTGAAGCATACTTGCCTAGTTTGCTTCTTTCATGATGTGTTCTACCAACTCGAGTAGCTTAGCTTACCGCTTTCCTAGTCGTGGCCTACTTATTCCTAATAGGAGGTACTTCTATATATCTTGGTACCAACTAAAATTTATTCACGTCCGTGCTATAAATTTTACAGTTTAGACGCATTTTAGTGGAACAAAAATTAGTGGCAAAAAAGGATTTATATAATAGAACTCAAGAATTTATTAGAAATAAGACTTTTGTTGTTGTTATTATATATTATGACAAAATTTTACATATTCAAAAAGTTGAATAGTCGAAAACTTTTATGTTATGGATAAGATGATATCTTTGCACTAACCCCACTAGTGTTGATGGATGATACCATCTATTTGAAAGCTTAAGCGACTA